CACAGTGGGTCAACACGTTTGAGGGTGCTGCTGACTGGATGGGACACACAGGCTTGAGTCAGTCATGTGAACCAGAGCTGTCTGCAGTTAAGACTTCCAAACACACATCAAAGTCAGGGGAAACGTGAGCGGCGACGCTTTGTATGGAGACGAGATCTTAGTCTGACATTCACTTGAGATTTTACATCTGAGTGATGCTGTATCTTAAATCCATCTGCTGTATATTTTCCTGTTTATCTGCAAATGGATTATAAACGAAGGTTTATAGGACACACTTGTATGCACATCTGTTGAATGTTTGAAATCTTACTAAGATTTTATCTTTCTTTTTGATGGAGGCAGGTAAACCCTGAAAAATATGGTTTTGGGGATATGAAGATAAACTGTATGTGGAATCAAGAGTCTAATAAGCAGATCTAAAGTGCTGATTTCCAAATAAACACCTGCAAAAAAGTGACATTAAAGATGATGTTTTTTATGTAAAGGGATTTTGTTACTTTTTTCTGTCTGCCCTTTTAATATCTACACTGAAACACAGCATTCGAATGCACAGGGAACACATTTGGATTTTTCCATGGCTTCATCCTGCTTTGAAGTTTCATTTCAGATACTTTGCCATATATAGAAATCATGAGGAAGTATTTAAATTGTCTTTTGAATGTTTGGACAAGTACATATTTAAGATAAATATGTAAAAATACAAAATCACTTGGAAAAGTACACTTAAGCCATGATAATTAGAATCAGAGGTTCCAGGGACTGCTAGTTAGAACCTCTCTATTCAAATATCCACCACAGTAAAGTGTGTGGTGTCATCATACAAAGATCTAAAGAGCTCCCTCGGGCCTTTTTTTTGGTGGGGGTGGTAGGGGGTCTGGCAAGGATTTTAAATAAAAAAAAAATTACTAATTGCAGTGGAATAAATCACTTGATTGAACACCACCATCATCATGGAGGGCAGATTTCCAGCAGCTTTGTTCAGCACAGCCTGCCCTGACAAATTCAGCCCAAGAGCAGAAGTCTCTGTGACCCCGAAACCCAGGCCCAGATGACTCTTGCTGCTGTTGCTGTCAGAGCAGACACATCAACAATCACAACACAGTTCCACAAATTTAAAATATGTGCCAGGAAAGTTCTGCAAAACTTAAACATATGGGGAAAACCCGGCTTACAGATAATGCCCTTTAATCAAAGGATTAAGATCTGTGTGGCTCAGACACAAGATGGCATTTCAGGAGAGGAACCTGGTCTGGGTCACGGCACTGGATATTAAAAATGATCCTAAACGCTTTCACCAGAGAACAAATCCACCAGTGATTGGCTCAAAAACAAAAAGGAATGTCATTGGAATTTATGGAAATTTGAAGTCAGAAATATCACAGCTGAAGGAATTTTGCCTTGAAAAGTGAACATCAGAGAGGCTTAATAACAACACCAAATGTGTTTCATAAATCTTGCTAAAGGGGGCCGTACTAGATTCTCATGCTTTTTATACAATATACAATATTATATCTCTTCTTGAATAAATGACTAAAATTATTTTTCTTTCACTTGTCAAAATATGTAATAAATAAATAAATTTAAATTGAACTAAATTAAAATCTTGCAAGTCTGAGGAGCGAGTTGCATTAAACTTCAGTAATAGTCACTATTGCATACACTAGAGGGCGCCATTACACTGCGTATATTCCCCAGATTCACTCTATTGAGTGACCATGCCAGCTTTTGCAAATCTCTCAAACGCTAAAACTGTCTCCACGCAGCAGATAACAAACAAACACACGTTTTAAAAATATAATAGGCAGCCAAAATCACTGTTGGATCGGTGACATCTATACATTACAAATGCATTCATTTTGTTTCACTTATTTTGTTCCTAAATATTTTTTGAGTCTAGCTTTATCCTACAAATTGCTGCCATGACCCGTTTTCTCCCCACAGGTACCATTGGAGTTTAACCCAAACACATACACAACAGTAAACTAATGAGCTGACATCATATCGTCATGAATCATAGCCCCACAGCAGATGGTGGGTGTGTGCAACAGCCTGCTGTCCTGCTCACCGCAGAGACCCACAGCAGTGAGGACGCAGTGTGGTCGCATCTCTCCACCACCGTCAGTGACAACATGTCAGCGTCTTGGACTCGCTGCACAGCGCACCGCATCAACCCATTCAGCTGTGACAGTTTGCTTTTCTCACAGAGGTGCTGTCAGTTTTTGCTGTTTCGATGAAGCAGAGGTTGGCCAAGGTCGCAAAACAATGTTTTAATAATGTTTTACAAAAGTTACAAATATGAATTTCAGGAGTGTAAGTGGATGATATATATAAAAAACTGATTCAAGAAGAACAAAATGTGGAACACAAGCATTAAATTGCCCTGAAGTCTGGCAGTGAAATGAATTAAGCTACAATTAATCCAAACATACCAAATAAACGACCACCTTAAAGCCCCTTATACCTGCATTCTTTTTAATGGCCAGCACCAGGTTTTATTTAAATATTGAATAGCTGAAAATTACCCTTGGCTTGCTGGCTCTGTGACACCAGTAAACACCTTCCTGCTGACTAATTTGCTAAATTATGGTCATTTTTAGAATCTGGGAGGCCAAACAGCCACAGTCTCAATCGCTGTGAGTACACTGACCTCTCAAAGTTCAGGTATTATTCAACTGCATAGTAAACTACATAGCAGTGTGTGTGTTTAGCTAAAAGGGAAACGGTGAAGATGAGAGAGAAACTTTTTCTATGTAGCATTTAAAATGTTTAAGCTGCAAAATTTGATTTTAGGAAATGTTTGAATCCTAGTATCATCACTGTTAATGTAATAGACTGATATTAGCATTATCTAGATTTACAGTTTTATGACCATATAATAAAGTTTTCCTACACACAGCTTCATTTATTTTTGACCACTTAGGCCATAACTGCACAGGCTGGTAAATGTAGCGTTTTTTTAAAATGCATTTTGGCCTTTTGTCCAAACATAAATGGCATTTTAGCTCACTGAAAACAGAGCTTTTTAGAAAACCTCCTCCAGCATCAAGATGTTCAGTTTCTGCGTTTACATGTCAAGGTCACGTGTGGTCAAAGGAGAGCCACTGTATTATTGTTTGTAGGTTTCTGATTGGCTAACATTCCTACAAGGTGTAAAGTTCAGGGTAGTTATGCCTATTGTTCTGGCATGCACTGTTTTCATGTGGACTGGGATATTTTTCAAAATGAAAGTATAAAATCCCCATTAAAAACATCACAGTTTATTCTCCAGATCACTCAATTTAGCATGAACTATTATTTGCATTGACTATTTATTATGTTTAACAACACACGGAAATGAGTAAGTGCAAGCAGATTTACTGTTTATGTAATTCAATTCGTAATTCAATAATAGAGAGAAAACAAAGAAAACCTCAACAATCAGATGACCCAGTATGAACAAGCTGTTTGGCAACAGTAGGAAGGAAAAACTCCCTTTTAACAGGAAGAAACCTCCACCATCTCTGCGGCGTTGGAGATGAGGGGAGGAAGACAGGATAGAAGACATCCTGTGGAAGAGAAGTGGAGATTAATAATAACCAACCATTAAATATTTGTAAATGTAAAAAACATTAAATATGTGTTATGTAGAGACCAATATTAAATAAAAAAATAAACATTATTAAATTAGAATTATTGCATACTGTGCATCTTCAAATAATTTTAGCTATAGAAAAACTAAAAGATTTTTCCTGATAACCGGATTTGAGGCTTTATGTGCTCATGCTGTTGGTCTCGTGTGTCTTCACTATCATTTCTCGTTCTTTTTCTGGCTTCTGACCAGAATCCATCAGTAATGATATTTTAATTAAATATGAAGCCTCACAGACTTTGTTTGCTTTGATGGTGTCCCATCCTTTCCTACTTTGATACCAGACTCATACTTTTGGTGCTGAGCTCCCAGTATTTCTGGGACTCACTTTTGAAAACTTTTTCAAATGCTACCTTAAAAAAAAAAAATCACATTTGTTTTTTCTTTCTTATGGGTCAAGGTCACACAAACTGTATGCCACGCTCCTTTCCACATTTTTTCCTCCATTTGCTCTCATTTACAGAAAAAATATAAAAAGGAAAGAAGAAAAACTATATTTCCATTCCTATTAAGGAGATTAAAATTGTTTTGCGTTCTTGGCATTAATGCCTCATTCACACCGGTGAGACTAATCAGTGAACTTGCAGGGAACATTATGTGATTAAATTACCTGTGTGACGCATGGCACCTGTTGAATAAGAGACAAAACACGCTTTCTGCATCAGTTGCCATGTTACCTCTTGTTCTCTCAGAAGGGTGATGTGGAAATTTTGGACAAGCAATCAAATAAAACATGATTGTCAATACTTATATCCCTTCTTGCTAATGTATTCATTGGAAAATAGATGGATGAGTGCTTCTGGCTTTCAGCTCAGTCCCGGCGGACTCTGTCTTTCTCACTTACATAACTGTATTGCTCTGTTGCATTATCTCTCAGATACAGTCCATTTATGGTTAGAAATCACACACACACACACACACACACACACACACACACACACACACACACACACAAACTTTCAATTGCTGATTGGTATGTTCGCCTGCATTTCCTTGATCTTTGTCACAGGGTCATAAATAATGCCCGTGTATACGCTCAATTCAATGGTGTCATTAAAACTACTCTTAATGAGCCCTCTAGTCAAGGACCAACCACAAATACTCATAGGTTTATTATTACAGTAGTTTAAGCTGCAGGTATATTTTTTAATGGTTTTTTTTGTGTGTCTTATTTCTCCTCCATGCCAACCACAACACATTTTTTTCACTCAAAGGGTCATATAAGGCTGCCATTGGTCTTTATTGGTCTGATTGGTCTTTATGCATTTATGACATGCTGTTAAAGATGACTGACAGCAGGTTAGATTGGAAACGGGTATTATTAGAGTGGAAGAGTTGATTCAAGGAGCAGACTGCCATCTCGATCGTGGCCATGGAGTCCACAAGAAGGTCGTTCCTGGCTCTCTTTCTGTTGGTGGTGCTTGGGTCATCCATTGCCACAGGTAAGGAAAGAAGGAAAACAAACTCTTGTTTTAGTTTTGTTTTGGGTTTTCTTCTGCTTTGATGTTTTCTAAATCAGATATTGAGTCTGTACATGT